ATTTTGAGCAGATGATTGAACACATACCACCAAATTCAATTATAGTATTAATTAATGCACCTTATCATTCACGACTAGTAGAAAGACTTCCAACGACTGCGTGAAAGAAACAGGATATTCTTGACTGGCTGCGGAATAAGTATCTGCCTTACGAAGATAGAATGATAAAAGCAGAACTTTTAAAAATTTCCCGACAACACAAATCTATGTTCAAGAAATACGTAGTGACTTCCACCCTACCACTGCGAAATAAATCCAATTGAACTCATTTGGGCACAAATGAAAAGTTATGTGGCTAGAAAAAATACGTCATATAAACTACAAGCTGTACGTGAATTGTTATACGAGTCTTTACAACATATTACAGAACAAAACTGGAAAGATGCAGTAAGACATGTAATAGAAGAAGAACAAAAAATGTGGGATCTTGATTACATAATTGATGCGACCGTAGAGACACAACCGCTAATTATTAACCCTCAAGACGACTCGGATTCCGAAGTTGATCCTATTTATTTTGAATTTGAATAGTTTTCTAATCGTAATTATATAAGGTAAGTAATAGTAGTTGTAATCGTAAGGTATTAAAGGGGAAAGGCGCAAAATGTCGCCTGTCAAAATGTTCAATGTGTTTTAAATGTATCCATTTTTTTTTCAAATCCTGAGAAAACTAAAAAGCATTTTTGAAAAATTTAAAGGCACAATCAAATATTTATTAGAATAAATAAAAAGTTTCTTTTGCATGCAAAATTTTCAATTAAAAATTATACTATATTTTCTCTTTTATTTTCACCCTGTTACATAACATATTAAAATAAACATTGTAGAAGTTTTCAGGGACTTTCTGCCCTCAGTAATAATGTAATCTTTCATTCTGCGTTTAAATTTTTCAAAAATATTTATTAATTTTCTCCGGATTCGAAAATAGTGGATACATTTAAAACACATTAAAAATTTTGCCAGGCGACATTTGGCGCCTTTCCCCTTAATTAAATAAATGTATCTTTTACAAATGGCAAGAAACATTTTATTTTTGAATAAAATAAAGAAGTTTTATTAAATACAAAAAAAACAATTTAAAAAATAGATTTATTTAGTTCAAATAAATGTTTCAATCATATACTCTACGACACTGGTCGGTCATCTGTAACCAAAATACCTTCGTAATCGGATTATAAGGTTGATTGCTGTATTGTATTCCTTCAGATACAAGGTGGGTTAGTCGTTAAACCGTCAGTTTCAGGTTGGTTTTTACTATTATATCGTATTACCTATCCTCTCTGTATTTCAGTTCTCTAATTAGGGTTAAACTTGTAGGAGCTATCGACAATTGTGAACCGATTACTAACTCACAACCCTCCCTGCTTTATCATGGCGAATAATAAAACAAAAGGAAATGGTCTCCAGGTGGGTAAGAAAATGTCTGAATCCCACACCTCAAAAAGGTCTGCCTCACGGTATCTGGGGGAGGCAATAATTCGCTTTTGATAAATAAAAACAAAAACCCACTAATACGAGCACAACATAAATAAAAAAAAATCCGTCAACCTGTCAATAGGAACATATAATATTAGATCAATGTCCACTGATGAAAAAGTACATGAACTGGAAGAAGAATTAACAAACATAAAATGGGATATTATAGGCCTATCAGAAACTCGATGAAAAGAAAAAAACCGAATACAAATAAAATCCGGTAATCTACTGTATTATAAAGGAAATGAAAAGAATAGTAAATTTGGAGTGGGATTTTTAATAAATAAAGCTATAAGTAAGCATGTCCAAATTATCAAAGGTATATCAGATCATGTCGCCTAGGTCATACTTAAAATAAGAGAACATCAATTAAAATTATCCAGACATATGTCCCCACGACAGCTTATGATGACGAAGATATCAAACTATTTTATGAAGATATATCAAAGGCTATGGAAGAACATAAAAATCGTCTTATACTAGTAATTGGAGATTTCAATACCAAACTGGGTAGAAAACTAAACAAAGAAGAAACTAAAATAGGAGATTTCGGATATGGACAAAGAAATGATAGAGGTGCTACTTTGATGAACTACCCAGAAGAAAAGCATCTATACGCAATGAACTCCTTTTACAAACCGAAGCCCCAACGAAAATATACATGTTCTTAACATATCCACAACAGATAGTGATCACAGGATGGTCAGAGCAAAAATTAGTATTGACGGTAACTACGAAATGTAGGTAGATAGAAACAAACTAAGGCAATATAAAGAGATATACAAAGACCTATTAAAAGTACAACTTACCCAAAAATTAGACAAGATGATAGATAAAGATATAGACGAAATAGACAACATACTTACAGCAACGATTATTACATCAGGAAAAGAAATAGCAAAAAAAGATCTAAAAAAGAACAACTACATATCAACAGAAACAAAGAAGCTTATGGATAAAAAAAGGAAGCTGAACGAAGAAGGCAAAATGAAATCTATAGAATATGTAGAAATCAATAAAACAATAAGCAGAATGATAAAAGAACAACAAGAAGTAATACAGAATAACAAAAATATGAAAAGAGCGAAATTAACTAAGTTTGAAATAAACAAAATAAAAGATGTAAACGGAGTAGAAACAAACATTAATGATGACATCATAAATATAATCCACCATTTCTACTCAGAATTATATAAAGCAAAAAAGGAACCACCAGAAGAAATTAAAAACTAACTTAAGACTAAAATAAAAAATGTCAACTCAGAGCTACAGCCAGAAATAAGCAAATCAGAAATAAAGAAGGAATTGAAAGAAATGAAAAACAACAAATCGCCTGGAAAAGATGGATAGATAGATATTAATTAACACTTTTCCCACCATATTTTGATTGGAGACGATTGGAAACGATTGGAGGCATTTGAAATGTGGTACGACCGACGTATGTTGAGGCTCTCATATACAGATTGAACGAAATAAATTCGGAACATACGAAATATTATGTATTTCGGCTCAATTTCGCTCTAGGTGGTTGGCCAACAAAAGGTTGTCAAATAATTATATTATAAAAATCCAATACTTCAGCGGGCTGCTGGGTTCTGAACTCATTCAAGAACAAGTCAAAACTCCACCCAAATAGGTTGCCCCGCCCATCACGTATAAAAATTGAAAGCTACACGTAAATCTAGGATTTTATTATGCTGTCAAACCACTTATCGCTTCTCACAGATGGATATTTTGAGCGGTGTTGCCAAACTCATTCCTCTAGATGTTTCTCAAATAAGGTGTTAACCATAAAATATTTACAGGAAAGAAAGGAAATAACTACAAACCATTAAGTTTATTTTTGTTATTAGTCTGTTGTAGTAGATTGGTAAATACAATGAAAAATATAGGCAAATATCCGATTTATTTAAAGATACGAAGAAGATATAACTCTCAAAAAGATCCGCAAATCGGATTATTACACGGCGATTGGCAACATTGTTACGCAAACAACATTGTTGCGAGACAGATAGTTGAACGATATTTTATACAATGTCTATCACCAGGTATGGATTTATTTTTGTCCAAGTTTTATATTGGTCCACTATTTCAAATGTAGTTCAAACAGACATATATTAAATTGTATGATCCGTTTTAAATTCGTTCAATCTGTATACACCACACAAGTAATATAACTATTTCGGCCATATCATGCGTAATGATAAATACCGACTTCTGCAGTTCATTCTGCAGGGCAATATTAAGGGGAAAGAGAGGTCCTGGACGTAGACGTATATCCTGGCTGGCCAATCTTAGGAAATGGACTTGTCTAACGTCAACATCTTACAACATCATCTTACATCATATTGCAACATCAGTTTACACTATCAACTGACAAACATCATCTTACAATATCATCTTAAAACATCATTTACAACATCATCCTACAGCATCTTGCAACATCATCTTACAACGTTATCTTAAAACATTATCTTACCAGATTATCGTACAATTTTTGTATACAATTATCGGAAACAATTGTTCGTTTCCAACATTCGTTTCCAATACTTTGCCAAAAATTTTTGGCAAAGTAATTATTGGCAACATTTATTGGACTCATTTTCTGGCACATTACTTAAGTTGACAACATTTTTTGCCAATCATTTTGCAACATCATTTTACAATATTTTACAATACCTTTTTACAACATCATCCTAAACATCATTTTACAACATCATCTTATAATATTGCAACATTATTTTACAACATCAACTCACAACATCACTTGAAAACATCATCTTACATCAATTTACAACAGTATCCTACAACATCATCATAAAAGGTCATCTTACATCGTCTTGTACACCATCTTACCACATACAATTTTGGGATACAATTATTGGAAACTATTGTTTTCAACATTCGTTGCCAATACTTTGCCAAAAATTTTAGACATTTGTTGGACAAATTTTTACCACATTAGTTGGCAACATTTGTTAACATTTGTTGCCAACAAGTGTATTTATTAAAGTAAATAGACGTGAAGATAGTCGCAGTTTTAGTGAGGTCAATCGAAAAGGTTATATTAAAACTGTTATTTTTCTTACAATTTTATCATATTTTTATTTAATTTTTTTTTTGAATAATTCTGTAGCCTGGTTTCAAAGATGGCCAACTCCATTTTTTTTTGAAAATTCAGATATTGACGGATTCTTGTGTAAAATAACATGGGGAATCCAAATCTAAATAGTTTTGGTGTCAAAAATGGCCAGAACAATGTTAAAACTGCATTTGAATAGTACCCTTGGTTACAAAATCGGCCAGCTCTCAAATATGTTGGTGACAAAAACGGCCATCTCCACAAAGCACCAATCAGATGGCTTCATTCTGTCACGTGACCTCACCGTCTCAGGTGAAACAGAAGACAGCAGTGAACTGAGCTATTCTGGTGTGTTGTGACTGGCGTTGTTTTATTGTTTAGTATTTTAAAGTTTTACTAATATACTAAAAAGATATTACTGTAATAAACCTGCAGAAATAACATGGAAGGAACTAATGTTAAAGAATCTCCTTTGTTGAAAGGAAGAAAGAAACTACCAAATCCTTCAAATTGGAAAAGAGCCAAACAGAAGATTTTGAGGTTAGTATTAAACTATAACCTAACATTGAATAAACTAATAGACAAACTTAAATAACATTCATTTAAAATTACTATTACTTAGGCCTAGGCCTAGTTATTAGAGTGAAAATGGAACAATTTCTAGTAGGCCTAACCTATTCACACTTCGCATTATTTTTATTTTTCTTTAACTTATGTTAGAATAAAATAAGTTTCCCTGACATAAAACAGTTTGTATTTTGGTTTTGAATCCATTGTTTGTTTTAGGTACAGTTCAAAGGGATTACCTGATGCTCCTTCATGTGGCCACAGAGGGAAGAAAAATTGCAGTTTATTGAAGATGCAAGATATAAATAGGTTTCATAGTGCATTTTATTCTGAAAAGACAAAAGCCAGCCAAGATGCTTTCATTCTTAAGTATTGCACAGCAGAACAACCAAAAAGAACCAGACCAGGAGACGGATCAAGACATACTAAAGGCGTAACCTACCAATATTGTATTGAAACAACAGCAGGAAATAGATTAGAGATATGTAGGAACACGTTTATTAATGTATTGGGAATCACAAAACACAGAGTTGAAGGTGTTTTCACAAGATTTAAAAAAGACGGATGTCTCATCCCCGTGGAAACTCGAGGTGGTTATAGGAAGGCTAACATATATCAGAAAAAAATTGATTCTGTAATACATTTTGTAAAGCAGTTTAAAGGCACAGAATCACATTACAGTAGAGCGAGGAGTACTCGTATTTATCTTGATTCCACCCTGTCTATTTCTAAAATGTGGAAGATGTACGAAGAATCCGTTGTTGATGAATTTAAAGTTAAAGAGTCGTTTTTCCGACACATATTCGTAACTAGGTTCAACATTAGCTTTAAAAGGCCTTCGACAGATGTGTGTTCAACCTGCCTTCAGTACAAAGAAAAAATTAAAGTTGAAAAAAATGAAGCAATATTGCAAACGCTTAAAGCAGAATACACTGTTCACACTACCCGTGCTAAAGGGTTTTTTAACCTTTTGAAAAAAGATGAACCTAATGTTGCTATAATGTCGTACGACATGCAAAAAAATATGCCTCTGCCAAAGCTCCCAGATCAGAGTGTGTACTATTCAAGACAGTTATACTGCTATAATCTGACGATAGTTTCTGGATGTTCTACTGGAACCGAAGCTTTACGCAAAGAAAATGTATCAATTTACTCTTGGGCCGAATACGAAATGAAAAAGTCTTCGAATGAAATAGCCTCTGCAGTATTTGAAGAACTTGAGTGCAGATCTAAATCTGGTTACTTTGAAGGAAAAGACACCTTAAGGATGGTAGCTGATGGGTGTCCAGGCCAAAACAAGAATACTATAGTATTAACGATGTGCATTTCTTGGCTGCACAGGACTAAAACTTCAATCACTACAGTGGAGCTTGTGTTTCCTGTTACCGGTCACTCATATATGCCTAGTGATAGAATTTTTGGTGGCATAGAACGAAGTTTAAAGAAAAGAGATACAATTGTGCAGCTTGAAGAGTATCATTCAGAATTTAGTAAGCATGGGACAGTCAAACTTTTAGAAAAAGACTGGACCAATTAAGATTGGAAGTCAGAAGCTAAAAACTGTGTTAAAGACCCAAAAAATCTTCATTTTAAAAATTTCACAAGTCAAAAAGTTAATTCTGACCAAGAAACAAAAGTCAGTAACTGTCAGTGGCGAACAAAACTATAGTTTCCCAATTAATTCAAGTTTGAGTGTCATGAGACCAGGGAAAAAAGTGTGGAATATAAAACCAACTGAACTTACGCTTGGAGTCAAAGTGAATGCGTTAAAAATTAAAGACGTGCGGGTTTTATTACAAAAACATTATGGTGAAAAATGGAGTGAAATGGAAAATGTGAAATGGTATCACGAAGTGATAAACAATAATGAAATGATGCCTGAAAATCCACTTCCTGAATGTGAGTGCTTAATTAATGCAGACTGTGATGAAGTCATGGAAGTCAACCAAGTTGTAGTGGACTTTTGATTCAGAATTATTGTAAGATTCAGATATTGTCTACCGATCAAGCAGGTATCTAAAGAACTTTTGTAGTTAGTGTATTGATCGAGCTTTTAAATTTTATTGACAAATATTGTATTAGCCCAATAAATTAATATTTGTAACACATATTTCAACTTTTTTTATTTTCACCAAAAAAATCTTCAGTATATTACTGCTGACTTAAGATATCAGCGACACCATCAGCAATATTTTTGGTGACAAAAACGTCTATCTCCACATGTTGGTTACAAACACGGCCAACTCCATAATATCTTATATTATAAGATGCTCTGGAAATCATTATTAATCAACAAAAAAAAATTCAACTGTACAAATTGTGTGGAAGTAGTTTAAACAGTTTTTTACCTATACTGAAAATTTTGCTAAATGGAATTGGCCATCTTTGAAACCAGGCTACAGAATTGTTTAATAATTTATAGGATTTAGAATAATAAAAGATAAAAACTTAATGAATTTAATACTAAGTAAAAAAAATAAATAGTACATGGAAACATTAAACGTCATTTAAAATATGTCCACTGACCCTTAAAAAACATGACCTATCTTTCCGATTGTTCACATTACTTACAGATGTGAAGATGTTGCCGATGAAAAGCTTTTAAATTATCATCCTATATACGGTTATTTATTATATTTAGAGGTTTTTATTCAAACCGCCTTATTATGAAAACTACATCACATCAAGATCTCCTAGTGTGAAGTTTCAGTGACTATGGTGGTATTTTACCATAGCCACTAAGGGTTCGATCCCATGTGCAGGTATAACAAAGGGCTTTCAAAAGAAAATGTCCTTTCTAAGATAAATTACGACAAAGAGACTAAAAACATAATATTATGCGCAGTATTTTATTGACACAAAGAATTAAAGCAACTTAATATAAGCCATTAAAGTGATGCTCCTGGAGGTCCACTATTATTTGAGTCCATATACCTTTCGCAGATGAAGTAGAACTCAGCGTTGCAGTCACGGTCGTTCCATGTTAACTTATTGTCAGTAATCCATAACTGCAAACATTTTTCGTTAATGTCACTCGGTTGACCGTTAGACCATTTAGTGTAGTCGATTTGCGATCCGTATGGCATCCATACCCAGCTGAATCCATCTACCAAACGGGTACCTCCGATCCAGTATTCGGAACCTTTGCCTGAAAGATAAAAAAGTTGCTATTTAAAAATTCATGTAAGTATCCATATTTAGGTATTGATAAATATATTTTGTAATACTAAATGAAAGATATATGAAAATCATTCCGGCATAATCCTCTTTTGCTCAGCTGAAAAGAATCATTACATCCATCCTCAATTATCGGCTTCAGATAAAAAAAAAATAATCAGAGAATATTAAACCAGATTTTAGCAAAGAAGTTTATCTTAAAATAAATCCTAAACATTAAGATAAATCTTAACAAATCATTGAAAGTTTCTAAATATGCCAAGAGTTAAAACAAAGTGGAGGCTGGCAACAACACTGTTTAAACTGTGTTGAACCATGTGCATGGCTCTCAAATAGACAATGAGATAGCTAAATGTTGGCAAGTATTCGATAAAGTACGACATAAACAATTATTAATGAATGCAGAATAAACATTAAAAAGATTGACTACAACGACGACGATCAGGGTCATATCAAATTTATACTATAAACAGCGAGCAAAAGTAAGAACAGCTGTCAGAAGAAATATAGATGTGGAGTGAGACAGGTAGGTATGCGTATTGTCGGCAATTTTTTTTAATCTTCTTCTTTAGGTACCATTTCCTCTAAGGAGGTTGGTAATCATCACAGCTATTTTCACTTTTGAGATTGCAGCTCTGAACAAGTCGACGGAACTGCAATTATACCACTTTCTCAGATTGTTGAGCCAGGAGATGCGTCTTCTTCCAATACTTCGTTTTCCCTGTATTTTTCCCTGCATTATGGTTTGTAGCAACACATATTTATCCCTCTCATAACGTGGCCGAGATACTGTAACTTTCTTATCTTAATCGTATTCATGATTTTCATTTCCTTTGTCATCTTTCTGAGGACCTCAACATTTGTTATTCGGTCTACCCAACTTATTTTTAATATTCTTCGGTAGGTCCACATCTCGAATGCTTCAAGTCGATCGCTCACCTCTTTCTTTAAGGTCCAGGCCTCCACCCCATACAGCAGCACCGAAAACACATAAGAACGTAATATTTTTATTTTGAGTTGTAAAACATGGTCTCTACTGCATAATACTTTTCTCATCTTATTAAATGTTGCTCTAGCTTGTCCAATTCTCATTTTTATTTCTTCTGTATACTCGTTAGTTTCATTAATAATTGTACCAAGATATCTGTATTTTTTTACTTTTTCTATTGGATTAATGCCTACTCCGAAAAGAACCTGAAAAACGCGCTTGAGGGTTGAAACCTATCTAAAATTTAAGGAATATATGGAGAAGGAGATGATAAATTAGAGAAGAACTAGCAAAGAAGTTATTATAAAAAGAATGGCCTAGCTCAAAAGAACACAGAGACACAAAACCTCAAGCAAGAATTCGGGCTAGCCTCACTACACTAGAATTTGGCTTTGAGATAAGGGAAAAAGAGATCTTTTAACCAAAAGAATACAATATAATAAGCATACTGAAAATCTGGAGCTATAAAAAGGGTAAGATAAGAGAATATACGGAAATGCCTAGGAAAATACTGAAATGGGCGCCAGCTAACTTCTGAAGGAAATTAACGAAAAAATAAATGAAGTTATGAACAACAAGGAATAAAGTACTATTGATATAATAACCTGTAATAATTTTTAAAAACCGAAAAAGACACTATTGACCTTGTTCTGCTATATTATAACTGTAAGCAGGGGAACTGAAATAAAAGCAAAACTACTTGTAACAAATATATTTTTATAATATTGACAACTAACAAACAACTCACCTATATATATATATATATTGTTATGATATGTAAAATCAAGAAAAATATTGGTTTGCTGAAAACATTTCAAAGTTCCAAAAAATTAAAATAATTCAGATAAGTAGGATAATAAACAACAAACATTTCGAAGAAGGAAAGTCTTTTAATTTTGGATTACCTGTATTGAACAAAAAGTAAGATAAGCATAAATTATTTTCTTTGGTTAAAATATATTTGAGTGACCTGCATAAGCTTAAGTGAAATCCTAGACAATGAAATCCTAGGACAATAGAATAGATTTTAGAAAGATATGTTTTTGTTAGTTCTTAAGAATTGGTAGGAAAAGATTATTTTGTAAATAAGTTTGAGGAAATTTTATAATTGTAGGTAAAAATTGGTTTGTGTTATCGAAATGAAGAAATGGGAGATGTATGACGCGTTTTGATTGGATGAGAGTGAAAAACGTGGGATGGTTGGTTTGAGAATGAGACTTTAGTTAGTTTTGGAAGAAAAAAGGATAGTCAGTTGGTTTCCAAGGGTGAACCAAGGCGAACGGCCGTTGTTCTCGGGTAGTTTCCCAGAGGTTAAGAAGCAGTAGCAGTGAAAGTTTGTGAGTTTTTCGTGTAGTTGGTGCATCTGACAGAAGCTGATCCAGTAAAAGATTGTAAGTTATATTTTCTACTTATATTCCAAGAGTCACTGTTCAGGCCAACGAGAGATTCAGTTTATCGTAAAGAGAAGATATTCCAAGAGTCATTTTTCACTCAGGCCAACGAGAGATTCAGTTTATTGAGAGGAGAAGAAGCTGGCATAATTTGAACGATTCGTGCATTTGAAGGAGATCATTAAGGACGATAAACTTGCAATAATTTGTTGTAAGATTGCCGATTACCTAGGGAGCTGCTAAGAATAGATAGTGTAGGCTACAAGGAACAGGGATTTGGACCACTCATAATCACAGAGAGATAGTTTTGTTTTTCTGCAGTTTTTTCTTTCATTGATAACACAATTTTTACCATTACTTTGGAAAAGATATAAATATTTTGATTAGGAGATTTAGAATAATAATTGGGATTTTAAGATTTTAACTAATATTGTTTGTAACATTAACTTTGAAGGTTCACGTACGTAGAACAAAATTTTGAGAATCAGATGATCATCAAATCAGATTTGAGAATGAGATATTGTTTATTGAAAACATTTGAGTGTGAATTTTATTTCATTATTTTTATTTCAATATATAATGTTAGATCCTATATGTTTTTTATTATTCCGGTATTCTTTGGACCTTACCTTTCACATGTAATAGCATAGATATTGAAGCACGAATATAACCCTGAGATAAGAGAATTAAAAAGTGTGATAGACTCATAATCATATCATTTAAATAATTTTAATTAATTAATTAATTAATTAGCTAATTAATTGCTTGGCGCACTAAGACTTTGAATATCACAATAATATATATATATATATATATATATATATATATATATATATATATATATATATATATGTATATATATATATATATATATATATAATATATATATATATATATATATAGAAAATATAATTACAGTATTGGGGCTATGGTATACGAGGACCAAAAAGCCACGACAAAATGAAATATCCCCACTACTGGGCCAAACGAAAAAATGTATTGGTAAATATATAATCTAAGTCCATGGGAGAAGCGAAATCTTAACACTAAGGTTAGTTCTTCTTCTTCTACGGCACTACAGCCCAAAATGAGCCTTGGCCTCCTTTATTTTTTTGCCTCCACCTTGTCTGTCTGTGGCTGCTCTTCTCCATACACGGACTCCTAAAAGTGCTTGTGCGTCGCTGCTTACTGTGTCTTCCCAGCGCTTTCTTGGCTTTCCAACTGGTCTCTTTCCCTGCATTCTGGCGTTCAGTGCTCGTTTTGGTAGCCTATCCTCTCCCATTCGTATCACATGTCCGGCCCATTGCAATCTTTGTATTCTAATGAAGTCTGACAGGGGTGTTTCCTTATACAGTTGATAGAGCTCGTTGTTATATCGAATTCTGAAGATTCCGTTTTCCCTCACAGGTCCTAGTATTCTCCTCAGTACTTTTCTTTCGAATGTGTCGAGTTTGTTTTTGGATGTTTCTTTCAGGACCCATGCTTCGCTGCCATAACATGCTATTGGTCGAATTAAAGTTTCATATATTCTCATCTTTGTATTTCGGTGGACACTTTTAGACCGAAATATATGGGAGAGGGCAAAATAAGCTCTGTTTGCCTGCGTTATCCTTTTTCGTATTTCTCCATCCTCTGCTCCATCGGCATATATTTCTACTCCCAGGTATGTAAACTTTCCAACCGTTTCAATGTCATCTTCATGTATAATGTTTTGTGGGATTATATTTCTTCTCGTCTGTACCATTATTTTTGTTTTTTCTATGTTAATTTCCAGACCTAGCCTTTTCGTTTGTGTACTAAGGTTAGTTACTAAAGTTAAATCCTAGATAGGTAAGGTAGGGAATATAAATACTAAAAAAAACCGTGACGGTTATACAAAAGAAACTACCTTACCTAACAAATATACGACTAATATGACTAATATGTGTCGAAGCAGCTAAACACCAGATCTATGTGTAAGTGTTATGCTTACACATAGATGCTGGAAGATATCTAAAGTGATCAAGTGTGATGAGTATGGCCAACAGACTCGGAAAGAGATTATATATATATATATATATATATATATATATATATATATATATATATATATATATATATATATAATATTTTAAAAACCCTGATACATAAATTTCTTCCCTTCCCTTTTAAAAACCGCTATACAAAACCATGAACCCCTTCGCTTGGTATATGCATATATAAAGTTGTAAGTTAGAAGAAAAAACCTTAACCCTATGAAACTTGATGTTAACGTCTGTCACAACACCACAGCTGTCCTGGTTAAGTCCCCTTAAGGCTCTGGCGGTCCTTGGGGCTCCGAAAACGCGAATGAAGGAGAACGCTGTGGTTCTGGAGACAATCGTTTTCTGGTTACCAATGGGTTGAAGTAGGTGTTTGGTTAAACTAATCCTAATATTAATCTTTATCCTAATCGGGTGAAATCTGGGTTTTAAATAATCATTTCGGTAGATTTGGACGCCGGGTTTTTCAATCAAGATTCTTTATCATATTATGTTGTTCCAATTCCTCCCTTGATGTTCAAGGAAATTATTAAATCCGATCCCAGATTTTCTACCAGATTTTAAGACGAAAAATTCTGGTAAAGGCTTGGAGAAATAAACCTCGCTGTGTGAGTTGCTGGCCAAAACTGACTTTAGACAAGCGCATCTTGACCACTTTAGTTGTTACACTTGCGCATCGTATCGTCTATTGCCCATAAACGTTTCATAAACGGGATTCTGAGGGGTTTTAGGATTTTAATAATTAATTATATTAATTAATTATATGTTAGCAGTTGTGACTGCTACAGGGTGAAACAGCTGGAATAGATGCAAATAGAGTTCCCATTAACAACATTAGATATGCGGACAACACTGTGACCTTAGCCGAAAATATTGAAGATCTTCAGAGACTGGTGACCAGAATAGCGGAGTATGAAAAAGAGTATGGTCTAACAATGAATGTCAAGAATACGAAATTTATGAAAATATCGAAAACTCAAAGAAATAACGAGAATCTTCTAATAAACGGAACCAACGTCGAACAAGTAGAAAAATTCGCATATTTGAGAACAATGATTAACTCTACAAATGATTACATTCAGGAGATCAAAATCAGAATAGAAAAGGCTAGAGCAAATTTCAACAAAATGAGAAGACTCTCATATGTACAAGAGATTTAAAATTGGAACTAAGAGTTAGGTTGGCGAGGGGCTATGTTTTTTCGACTTTATTTTATGGAATGGAATCTTGGACCTTAAATGCGACATCAATGAAAAAACGAATCATTCGAGCTGTTGGTGTATAGAAGAATTCTGAAAATATCGTAGACAGAACAAGCACAAACAAAGAGGTTTTGAGAAGGATGAATAAAGAAATAGAAATTTTAAATACAATTATAACAAGAAAATTGGAATATCTCGGACACCTTGCCCCAACTGGGCACTGGCACTTAAAAAAGAAGATCCGCATCAAACTCTGGGCTAAAATTGGAACAAGAAACCAGTAAAATGGGCTTGAACATTATTGAGCGACCAATTTCTTTCTTTAACTTTGTAAGTTTAAATAATTTGTTTAGATATAAATTTTTTCTACTTCCTGATCAACTCTGGTGCTACAACATGTTTTAAATGCATGTTTCAAATAAATTCTGATCAATTTTAATGTCTAGAGAGCGCCCTTGTTTCACAGCTTTTTAATTGGTGAATTCATTAGAAAGTAAATTAGACGCTTGTAGACTTTCTCTAGTTTATTACAATTAATCTGGCTTAGGCTTTTTTAAAATTTCCGAACAATAGGTGTAAATATTGGTTAAATATAGTTTTTTTCTCTCCTTTGTGAGCTGAGTCTCATTTTAGATATATAAGCAAAGTAACCCAAGTCTGTCAAAATATTTAAATATATTGTTTATGAAACCTTAGGAAAGGAATTGTGTTGTATTGTTATCTAAAGGTTTATAATAAGTTATTGGAAACGATGCGAAAAAAAAAAATATAAAACTTACTGGCGTCTCTAATATATTTATGAATTCTTTCGTTTTCTTCGTCTGAATGTATTGTTAGAAGTTTCATATGAAGTGATTCGCAGAATTGGAAAGCGTTTTGCCATCTTGCCTGAAAAAAGATAAGATCAGTTTAATATAAAGACCATATAGCAAGCAGAAATTAATATTTTAATATTATAATATGTATACAGATCACAATTGTTTTATTGACTATACAGCATAATAGTAATCGCTGTGACCTGTTACACGTTTCCACCTCTATATTCAGTTCACAGTAGGTACGAATTGTCGTAATTGTCATATTGAAATTAAAAATTTTAAACGAAGTTCTAAAACAGTGGCTCTCAACCAGTGTTCCGCGGAACACTAGTGTTCCGCGAATTCCTTCCAAGTGTTCCGCGAAATACTCGCAATCCTACATACCATTTTGCTAAATTACTCTTTTCAAATAAATATTTTCAAATTTTAAAATAGCCACTTACGTACATTTTCATTTAATACGTGAAAATCGCTGTGTCAGTTTTTTTATGATAACGTTTACGTACGGCTTATCTATCAAAGGTAAGTAATTGCATATTTTATACAAAATAGCATTCATCCGCATTATTTTGTTTAGAGACGAATAAATTAAAATGGATAAGTTCCTCAAACTTAAAAGAAAAACTACTGTGGAAGAACTCATAATTAATGATGATGAAGCGAGCACCAGCGGAGATACTGGAACTTTACGAAGTGGGGTTGATGACAAATCGAAGCGCAGCAAAAAAATGTTGAACCGGCAATATTTGGATGAATATTTGGATTATGGCTTCATTTGGACTGGGGAAGAAGACTGTCCAATTCCCAAGTGTATTGTTTGTGGGCAGACACTCGCTAATAGCGCAATGGCTCCGGCTAAATTAAAACGCCATTTTACTACCAAACACGCTAGTGTAGCTTCAAAAAATAAAGATTATTTCAAGCAACTTTTGACACACACTGTTGCAGAATCTCTTATATTACCAGCATGTTGTGAGATGGTCAAAATTATGTTTGGCAACGATGCACAAAACGAAATACGGAAAATTCGTACAAGTTCGGATACAATAAGAAGGAGGATTGTTGATTTATCTGCAGATATTGAGGAAAAAGTTACAAATAAACTTTACAAAAAAAAACTTCGCAATTGCAGGTGGACGAATCCACTGCTATTAGTGGCTAAGCTCATTTATTAGGATTTATTCGATTTGTCGACGAAGGTGAAATAGTTAATCAGTTTTTATGCTGCAGAGAACTTACAGCACGTACAACAGGTCAGGATGTATTTGATTACATAACGTCATATTTAGAGAAAAAAAAATACATCATGGGACTTTTGCGTAGGAATTTGTACGGATGGTGCCCCTTCCATGGTAGACTCCATAAAAGGTTTTTGTATCCTTGCAAAAAAGCGAAATGAAAATATCATATCTACGCACTGTTTCTTGCATAGAGAATCTCTAATTTCAAAAACGCTACCAGCTACTTTGAAATCTGTATTAGACCAAGTGGTTAATGTCGTGAATTACATCAAATCAAGACCACTAAAAACCGTCTTTTTAAACAACTCTGCATCTCAATGGAATCAAAGTATGAATGTTTGTTGATGCACACCGAAGTTAGATGGTTGTCAAGGGGCAAAGTATTATGTCGAATTTATGAACTTAGAACGGAGCTGTTAACTTTTTTCCAAGAAGAAGGTAATGACACATTTACCACATATTTTGAAAATGATGCATGGTGCACTAAAGTGGCATATTTGGCCGATATTTTTAATTATTTAAATGGCGTTAACTGAAGTATGCAAGGCAAAAATGAAAATATTTTAACATCCACGGACAAGCTGTCAGCTTTCCAGAAAAAATTGTCATTTTGGAAGAAGTGCATTTTATAGATAAATAAAATGGATATGTTTCCACTGCTTCAGAATGAAGGTGATAAAGATAAAGAACAAGAAATCACGCATATAGTTACAGAACACTTATCACTATTAGAGGAGACAATTGCCAGGTTTTCCACCTCTAAACGTAGAAAAATATGACTGGATAAGAAGTCCTTTTAGCACAAGTAATACAGCCAATTTCCAGTTTTCTCTGAACCAAGAAGAAGAATTTATTTCGTTGTCATCTGATCGTACTCTGAAAATTAAGTTTTCAGAAGTGAATGTTCAGGAATTTTGGATCTTGGTCCAAGAGGAATATCCACTTCTTGCCAAAAAAGCGATTAGTATTTTAATACAGTTTTCAACGTCCTATTTATGTGAATTTGGGTTCTCATCTTTAACAAACATTAAAAATAAGAAACGGGAAAGGCTGCTAAACTTAGAACAAGAAATGAGAGTAGCTCTTTCCCACATCAGGCCTGATATTGAGCAAATTTGCAAACGACGCCAGGCACAAGTGTCTCACTAATTTGAAGTATTTACTCATATGATGTATTTTGAGAATTACGCTTTTGTTAATTTTAAATATGTTTTTTGTTTTCATATTTTAAGTAAAATTTTACAAATTTGAGTACGTATAATAAAGTTTATTACAGAATTTATGTGCTAATCATAATTTGTTTATCAATATATGCATGTTATTGCTTTGGTGTTCCGCAATTTTTTTCGGTAATTAAAAGTGTTCCGTCGGTCGCCACAAAAAGGTTGAGAAGCACTGTTCTAAAAGAATAAACAAATAATTAATAAAATGCCTATTACGTTGTATACCGTCCAAGAAAAAGTGCAACTTGTAACATGGTACTTTCAGAGTCATTCGATACGCGAAGTAATTGATTTATTTATTGTTGCCTTCGTAGACAACATAGACCCCTACCAAGTGTTACAACAGTTAAAAATACCATTAAACATTTTCAAACTTCCAGATGTGTAAACAGTTGTAAAAAGTGTCATGAAGGTATTGATATTTGTGCTTTTTTGGAAACTAATAAACCCTGCAATAGTGTACAAATTGCTAGGAAAGTTAACGTGAATGTTCGAACTGCCCAGCGAGTTCTCAAAAGGAATCGGTATCACTGTTTTAAGATACAACCAACACAAGAACTGTTTCCGGAAGATAACTTTAGGCAGATGGAGTTTTGTGAATTTATGTTAGATAAACAGAATGAAAATGTACACTTTTTAAAAAATATTTTATTTTCTGACGAATCTTCATTTTCATAACATAAAAAATACAATCCATCCGTTGCAAGGTATTATTGTCGGAAAAGTAAGCAGCTCAGTGCAGCTCAAAGTTAAATGTTTGAACTGGGATGTTAGGCGACCATATTGTCGGTCCATTTTGTATCGATTTAAACCTAAACGGGCCCAAATATTTACAACTTTTACAAACTGAGATCATTCCAGCAGTTCAACGCCTTCCCGTTAATTTTCAGGAGGTTTATTTTCAACAGGATTGGTGTTCGGCTCACAACTCTAGAGCAACTTTAGACTTCTTCAATCAAACGTTTCCTGATCGACTGATAAGTAGACGTGGTACAATTAAATGGCCCGCTAGATCCTGTGACTTAGCGCCTAACGATTTTTTTTGGGTTCTCAAAGAAAACATTTATAGGCATCAGTTTGAAAGCGCCACAAACCTAGTCGAATTAAGGGCAAAGTTACTTCATTTATCTGCAAGCATTACACCAGCCCTACTTCAAAATAAGAGGAGAAATCTGTATGACAGATTTGGTTACTGTTTAGCACAAAGAGGTGAAATATTTGAGCCCTTAATTCATTAATCTGCTTTCCTAATTTTTATTTTTTGTTAGGTACATTTTACGAAGTTTGTAGATTCTTAATTACGTAGTATTTTTATGTTTAAGTTTGCAAAAATTTTATTTATTTTTTTTTTAAGTACAAACGATTCTTATTCTGATTTTTTTCTTCTTTCTTGTTTTATTGTTATAAGCTTTGTCCATAAAATTTGTACAAATCAGTGACAATAAAGCATATTACTTATTTACTTATATATTTGTATTGCTATTAAGGCTAAAAAATAACCAAAAAATTAGTTTTAGAGCATTGTAATAAATATACTCTATAGTGTATTTTTATGTATGAGAGAGTAATAAAACAATAAATTATGTATGCAAATCCCTAAACTGTTGATACGGGTGACTCAATGAAAAACAGATATTTGTCAACAAGTTTACAGAAGTATATAGGAAAACATATAGTATTTTTTGTCTAATTCTTTAACAAAAATAGAAAAACACTCGGTAAATATATGTAGGTACCTGTATAATATATGTAAATTAATATTGTAAATCATTATTATCAAATAGGTTATAAATATTCATAAATATAATGAGTATAAAAGATATATTATAAGAGCAATTTTAGTTCGGCTAATGGATTAAGTCCACAGTCAAAGAAACCAACAGCACACACACACACACACACACACACACACACACACACACACACACACACACACACAACACACACACACACACACACACACACACACACACACAATTTTAAATTGAGTATGACCACCAGATATAAAGGTTGGAGCAGAATAGAACACAATACTTGTGAGGGTTACTAATCCCTAAATAAGGTTGCCAGTGTCGGTGTGATGGAGGTTAACAGGTACTAATGAATTTGCAAGAAATGTAAGATGTTTATTTTATTGGTTATATATAACCAATAAAAGTTTAATAAGTACCTACCTATTTGCAAAATAAAGTTTAATTCTTTAGATAAAATAAAACGTTTTATTTTATCTGAAATGAGTGCATTCCACGAAGTAAGGGTTTCAACAATCAAACATTTAATTCTTTAATTCCAGGAATCTACGACAGTAATTGACTAGATAATTACCTTCTAAACTTATTCCACAGAAAATGTGATAGTGGGTTTTTCCATTTTGTAGGAAGGTCCAAGTGGCGTATTCAAAATTCTTAACAGTTCACTAAAAGTAGGTACTTAAGTTGATAGGTGCAGTTTATTGTGTATACTAGTGTTATGGAAAATTTGGAAGTGTCGTGTAAACGCCGAAAAATTGGTCCTTGAACAGTTAATGAAAAAACATTAATATTTAATTGTTTTAAATTATTTACAGACAAACGTTTATGTGAAAGTGTTGATGAGACCGTTGAGTTAGTTGAGCAGTACACTTGGTGTTAGGAAATCTACGATTTACAGAGTTATTAAAGAAGAGAAATGTGGTAGTTTTCAAATGCCACGTAATGCTCCAGTGAAACCAAAATTTCAAATAGAATATCATTTTAAAGAAGGACTTCGACGGAAAGTGCATGAATTCTTCTTTAGACAAGAATTTCCAACATTGGATAAAGTTCTTGTCTCAGTTCGAGATGATAAGGATTACCCAGAAATGAGTCGAAGTACGTTATGGAAACTTTTAAAATAAATAGGCTTCCGCTGGAAAAAGAATCCCAGAAAGTCTATTTTATTAGAAAGAAGCGATATTGTCATATGGAGAAGACATTTTCTAAGAACCATAAAGGAAATGAGAAACCAAAAAAGAAAAATATTTTATCTTGATGAAACATGGATCAACGAGGGTCATACACCAAATAAATTTTGGCAGGATGAAACTGTTACAAGTCAAAGGCACGCTTTTGTAAATAACTTATCTACTGGTTTAAACCCACCATCAGGAAAGGGACGCAGGCTGATAATAGTACACATTGGCAGTTCAGACGGTTTTGTTGAAGGTGGTTTATTAACTTTTGAATCAACTCGTACCGGTGACTACCATGAAGACATGAACGCTGATGTCTTTCAAGAATGGTTCGAACAAATGATAGATCTTCTTCCTAAGAACTGTGTAATAGTAATGGATAATGCAAGTTATCACTCCAGACATATAGAAGGACTGCCCACAACCAAGTGGTTAAAAAAAGACTTGCAGAATTGGCTGAGTTCAAAAAATATTACGTACCATCCCGGATCTATAAGAAAGGAACTTTATTTGTTGTGTATCCTTCATAAAGAAAAATTATACACAGATAAAGAGTGAAGTTTCAAGAAAAAATACCACTTTTAAAATTCATGATGTTAAACAGTTGTTTTTGGAGGCCGTAAATAATGTAAAGCCTGAAAACTGGGAAAAGGCAGTAAATCACACTATTAAAGAAGAGGAAAAAATGTGGAAGCTGGACAATATTACTGATAAAATGATCGAGCCAGTTATTATAAATCTTGGTTCTGAAAGTTCATCTCTGAATCTGATTTGGATTTGTAACAAGTAGCTGTAAGTTTTATATTAATATTTTTATTCATCTATTTAACATACCTTAGACGGTTTTAAAAACTCTTTTTCTCTTTTGTAATTTTTAAAAATTAAAAAAATGTGAATTTTTTAAAACTCTTTTTAAAGTAGGCCAGTCAATTCTAATATAGTGTGTGATAAAAGAGGTCACTTTTGTTTACATACACATAACACTTTATAACACTGAAATAATTCATTTATTTTTTACAATTATTCAAAGTAATTTTTCAATTAATCTTGAGCACGCCCATGGAGTGGTCGGAGGTACCAGTTAAAATTATGCTAATTACTTTCTCGTTCATAAAAATAAACTATAACCCGAAGAGACCATGTCCTTCAAAAAAAGTAGACTATTATTTTTTTCTGAGGGGTTCATGCAAAGGTGTCTAGTCCTGTAGATTTCGGCATCCTGGGCCTACATTTAGGGCTGCTGATCGGGACGCTTCGATCTAAGAGGGAAGCAGTGTAACGAACATGCTAATGTCGACGTACCACATATAACGGTTGCATTTTGAGATGATGTTATTTGTTCGAGAATGTTCATGATCTATCGATCGGCGGGTAGATCGAGGCACTAATACAAGTGAAAATAGAGGTGGACTATTCCAAATTTTTTCTAGTACATAATAACTTGTATATATAAGCTGCGCTTATATATACAGCTGCGCTGATATTAGTTTAGTTTAGTTGATAAGATATTATCGTACTGTAAACTAGTACTTACCCGAAAGTGTACGCCCATGTAATATAACTTATTTTCATGTCTAAACAAGGGAAGTACCGATGATCTGGTATTGCTTTCGAATATTTTTTCCCAAGTGGCAGCTGCAAATATATATTAATCAAATAATAATACGTATCAAATATATAAAGATATGTTAATTACTATTTATAACTGGGAATAAGCCACAATTAAAGATAAAAATACGTTTATTGACGTTTCAATTTCCAATTCGGAAATCGTTCTCAAAATACAAACACTAAATTAAACAAATTTTGTTTTTTGTTACATAGTGAAAAAATTCTTCTAATAATTTAATTTTATCTGACTCATTTATATTGACAATTCAGACATACATTATGCATTTTAAAGTAGACGACTTTAAAATGATATTGCCAATATTGTTGAGTTGCGCTCCTGGGACGACTTTACTTATAAGATAGTTCATTCGATTACATGAAATCAACTTTAACTTGAGAATATCCGTCAGAAAAATATTCTCAAGTTAAAGTTGATTTCATGTAATCGAATGAACTATCTTATAAGTAAAGTCGTCCCAGGAGCGCAACTGAACAATATTGGCATTATCATTTTAAAGTCGTCTACTTTAAAATGCATAATGTATGTCTGAATTGTCAATATAAATGAGTCAGATAAAATTAAATTATTAGAAGAATTTTTTCACTATGTAACAAAAAACAAAATTTGTTTAATTTAGTGTTTGTATTTTGAGAACGATTTTCGAATTGGAAATTGAAACGTCAATAAACGTATTTTTATCTTTAATTGTGGCTTATTCCCAGTTATAAATAGTAATTAATTTACAATGCCACAAGAAAATAGCTTCAGAACAATATAAAGATATGGTTAAGTTATTATTAAAAATCAGCATCAATGTTAAAAAAGTATCGACAAATCGTTAAATGATAGAAGAAAATTACTTCTAAAAAAATAATTTTATAAAGTACGCTTCATGAAAATGATTTGTGAGATCCTGGATAAACTATTGTAAATATTGATCAGAAAGATCAGGAGAGATCAGGACATATGACTGATGATAATGGCTACCCGGTAATAGATCAAACCCGGTACAAACAAAGAATATATGGAAGAGATACGTTGAGAAGATATTCGATGACGACAGAGATAACAACTAGATAACTATGGAATACGACACAGGACCATCAATCACTCACGACGAAGTTAAAGCAGCAATTAAAGCAACCAAAGAAGGTAAAGCACCAGGGCCCGACAACTTTCATTCAGAATTTCTAAAAATCATGGTAGACGAAGGAGTAAAATGGCTTACGACAACGTTCAATAAAATCTATGACTCGGGAAAAATCTCAGAGAGCTGGTTAAAATCTACATTTATTGCTATACCTAAAAAACCTAATGCAAAAAAATGCAAAGATTATTATCAGTCTAATGAGCCATATTCTTAAGAACTTCTTAAAGATAATACACAGAAGAATTTATCAGAAATGCGAGTCACAGATTTCACGAACGCAGTTTGGATTCAGCGATGCGTTAGGTACAAGAAAAGCCTTGTTTGCGGTTCAGGTATTATTTTAAAGATGCAGAGACGTCAACTGCGATATTTATGTATGCTTTATCGACTATCAGAAAGCTTTCGACATAATCAAGTACGATAAGCTCATGGATATACTAAAGGCAACTGACCTGGATAGCAAAGACCTTCGAGTAATCAAGAACATATACTACAACCAATCAGCAACCATTCGGGTGAAAGACCAACTAAAAGAGGAAGTTGCAATATAGAGAGGAGTACGACAGGACTGCATACTCTCTCCCCTATTATTTAACGTCTATTCGGAACACGTCATGAGCCAGGCCTTAGAGCATATCGAAGAGGGTATTCTCATAAATGGTGAGCGCCTGAATAACATCAGATATGCAGACGACACCATTATCTTTGCAGACAGTTTAGAAGGTTAACAGACACTAGTAACGCAGTTGTGGAGAACCAGTCAGGAGTACGGGCTTGATTTTAACATCAAGAAAACAAAGTACACGGTCATCAGTAAGAAGTATATTCCACCTAGTCAATTACTGGTAGATCAGCAACAAATACTTAAAGTACCCCGTTACTACTATTTAGGAACCACCATAAACAACCAATGGGACCACTCAGTTGAGATAAAACAAAGAATTGAAAAAGCCAGGTCAGCGTTTGTCAGAATGAGCAAGATATTTAAGATCCACGACCTACCCTAAAAACAAAAATCCGTTTATTGAAATGCTACGTGTTTACAGTGCTGCTCTATAAAGGAGCATGTGATAAAAAGTTTACCACTACAATAAAAAGGGAGCTTAAACATCTAAAAGCTGCCTGTCCATCAGATACAGAGTACTCCGCACCGTTCACTCCAGAAGAAGTCTCAAACGCTATCAAATACATTAAACCTAACAAAGCTCCTGGTACAGACGGTATACCTCCCGAATTCCTGATCCATTGTGGGAAATCTGCAAAAACCTGGCTGTCTAAATTCTATACAGATATACTCAAAACAGGTAACCTACCAAACCTCTTTAAACAAACAAAAATCATAGCCATCCTGAAACCTGGAAAACCAACAGACAACCCAGCGAGTTACCGCCCCATCGCTTTACTTAGTGCAGCTTACAAGCTCCTCGAAAGACTGGTCCTGAACAAAATCGGCCCAAAGCTACTTAAAAAAATACCAATTGAACAAGCAGGATTCAGGCCTCAACGAAGCACCACTGACCAAGTGCTCTCTATAACTACCTACATAGAGGCAGGTTACCAAAGAAAACTGAAGACGTCTGTGGCATTCATCGATCTATCGGCTGCCTATGACACGGTTTGGAAAGATGGCCTCATCTATAAGCTCCTTAAAATAATCCCCTGCAAAGCAACCGCCCGACTCATAAATACTATGCTGACCAGTAGAAACATCCGTGTAACCATGGGAACTACAGTGAGCAAACAGAGGACGCTTAATAATGGCCTCCCCCAGGACTCCGTACTTGCACCGCTGCTATTTAGTATGTATATAGCTGATATGCCCCCTACCAGATCTAAAAAAATTTGGATATGCAGACGACTGGGCACTTGCAACTCAAAGCTCCTTAATACAAAACTCCGAGGCAATCCTAACGGAAGATCTGGAACGCCTGATTAAGTACTTTAAACAATGGAGACTTAAACCTAACCCCAAAAAACCGAGGTTAGCTGTTTTCACCTGAACAACAAAATGGCCCACACAAAACTAAAAGTATACATTGATAACCAACTGCTCACGCACAACTATAATCCCAAGTACCTCGGCGTCACCCTGGAAAGAACACTCTCCTTTAAGAAACATCTTGAGAACACCGCAGCAAAGCTGAGAACCCGTAACAACATCATATAGAAGCTTTGTGGGACTACATGGGGCTCATCAGCAGGTACACTTCGGTGTTTAGCCCTTGGACTCGTATACTCCGCAGCTGAATACTGCTCTCCTGTTTGGCTGAATAGCGTTCACACAAAAATTATAGATACCCAGCTCAATGTCGCCATGCGTCTCATATCTGGAACGATCAAGTCTACACCTGTGGAGTGGCTTCCACTACTGAGCCATATACCTCCACCTAATCTTCGTCGTCAGCATGCTCTGCTTAGAGAATTCCAAAAGCTGCTTAACAACCCGCAATTACCTATACACACATATGTCGCCGACGCTAATTCACATCGATTGCGCTCCAGAAAACCTCCGACTAGAGATGCAATAAACTTGAGTTCCAACAATTTTCAAATGAACTCCCAGTAGAAGAACATGCAGAGCGACAGACCGAACCTAATAATGATAAACACACCATGCATCACAGAAACTCCACCAGGTTTTGACCTCCCCGAAAATCATGGTCAACTCTTAACAGGATAAGAACGGGTCATCCAGCATATGATTGCCGAATGCCCTCGGAGGAAGTATTATGGAGATCCTCTAGACTTCGCCTCTGCAACACCAGCGTCGATTGAATATATTAATACATTAGATGTTAGACTGTAACATATATGTGATATTGTTGTGTATCAAATTGCCATACGCTAAATAAAATGCTGCTCTATGGGGTTGAATCATGGACACTAACCGAGGCATCCATTGGAAAACTCGAGGCGTTTGAGATGTGGTGTTATAGACGGATACTGAGGATCTCCTGGGTGGACCGAGTAACAAACATTGAGGTTCTACGTCGGATGGATAAAACATGTGAAATTATATCCACAGTGAAACAGCGCAAGCTAGCATATCTTGGATTTTTATTGCGAAACGACCATAGATATAACCTGCTGCAACTTATATTACAGGGAAAGGTTGACAGAAAGAGGGGACCAGGAAGAAGAAGTTTTCCACTTTAGGTGTTAGTGTTAGAATTAGAAGTTAGAAGTAGGTGTAAAGTTAGAATTGCCATGCTAGTAGCCAACATTCGTAACGGATAGTCACTACAAGAAGAAGAAGAATATCGATACAAGGTATTTAACTGTATTATTCTCAAGCTACTTTCTTGTGGCATCTTAAGACAATTTATTTTTTTACTGGTATTAAGCCACAACGTATTGTAAATAAAATTTGTAAACTTTGACAGGTTGGAGACAAATAAATCAAAATAAAAACAAGTGCAAATAATCATTAAGTTTCCTGAAGTAAAAAATGTTCCGGTATGTTTAATAAAAATAAGCAATAAGCTTATTTTTAACAGTATAAAAGCATAGAAAGTTAATTTGTTGGTAAGAACTGATCTACGATAAGCATAAATATTTAGATGGCGACTAGTCATAGATTACAAAGCCAACAATAAAAAAATAGTCGAACTAAACTTACATTGAGGATTTCTATGAGCTGTTGAGCTAGAGCTGCTTCCCCAGCCATCTACATAAACTGCTGTTGAAAATGCCGCACAAAATATGCATAGCATTAAAGTGTTCAAAATCGCCGCCATTTTTGGTCTCTCTGATTGAGATAGCAAAATAATTGCTTTATACTTTTTTCTTGTTTTTCTTTAATTGACAGTAAAGGTTATCTCAGATAACACTGGGTTTACCAATACTTAATCAAAAAATATTGACTTTGTACTACTAGTACTAACTAGTTACAAGTGATATTAATTAATAACATACTTTTGCACTGATAATTTTTCGACTGTTCTAACAACCATTCAAATTTTGTCATTTTGTGTCATGTGGAACAATTTCACCCAATCATGTCAACATTAGACTGATAATTGCATTCAGTGCAATTTTCAATCCCTATGACAACACGATCGAGTTTGACAACTTCATCCAAATAAATTTCAAAATGTCACGTTTCGGCAATGAGAATGTTCAAAGTATAAATGAGCTAATCAAAGAAAAAATTCCCAGAAATACAACCTACAGTCACAAATATATTTGGGGAATATTCATGGAATTTTGCTGCGGACGAGAATATGAGTTAAATGAACATAGAATAACATAGATAACAAATCACTCGAATAGATCAACTGCTGTTAGCGAATTAGCAAAAAGTACAATTGCTGAAAGAAGAACAATTGCTGAAAATTATTGGTCATGGCAATCAGAATTCTATAAAACCATACTTGAATCTCGATCAAGAACACCACAACAACATTATAAATATTATGCGTGGTAATAGATCTTCTATAGTAGAGAACAGCAACGAATCTAATGTTAACTTAAATTTTAATAATTGTACTTTCACTAACTGTACTTTTAATAAATAAATGTTTCGTTATGTTGAGTTATGATTTTTTTTTCGAAAAATTATCCGCCGAATATCCCTCGGACACTGATGAATGCCTCATAATTTCATGACAAATTTCTCAAGCACGTTGCTTGTTAAGCTCAGCCTTCGGCTTCGTGCTGTTACCAAGGAACGAGCTTTCGATTGTCATGAAATTATCTCGTCTGTTATCGATGTCCTAGGGATATTACTACTGAAATAGTATATTAAATAACGAGAGTTGTAAGAAGCTTATTACATGCGAGTAATGCGTAGCGGCGAGCGCAGTAATTTTACAAGCATGTAATAAGCTTACAACTCAAGTTGTGTACTATACTTTTTCTACGATTATTTTCGTTTATAAAAATAAAAATTAAATTACCACCATATTTACACTGACAGATTAATAATTTTTAATCTGTCAAAATAACGTCTGTTAATTCGTTTCCATGATAACTCGACCAACTAACTTACGAGACTTATGTGATATTACACATTTTTATAAAACTGAAACGTAATTTTTTTTATTACGTGCTAGTCATTACGCGTCAGTATCTGTTATGATGCATTTACTTAGCATCCAAATAGTGGGTAATATACAATTTACTAGTAAGAGAGTAGAAAATTAGTATATTACATAACGAGAGTTGTAAGAAGCTTATTACATGCGAGTAAAAAAGTTGCGCGTGAGCCGCGTAGCGGCGAGGGCAGTAATTTTACATGCATGTAATAAGCTTACAACTCAAGTTGTGTACTATACTTTTTCTACGTTTATTTTCGGTTATAAAAATAAAAATTAAATTACCACTATATTTACACTGACAGATTAATAATTTTTAATCTGTAAAAATAACGTCTGTTAATTCGTTTCCATGGTAACTCGACCAACTGACTTACGAGGCTTATGTGATATTACACATTTTTATAAAACTGAAGCGTAATTTTTTTTATTACGTGCTAGTCATTACGTGTCAGTAACTGTTATGATGCATTTACTTAGCATCCAAATAGTAGGCAATATACAATTTACTAGTAAGAGAGTAGAAAATAGTATATTAAATAACGAGAGTTGTAAGAAGCTTATTACATGCGAGTAATGCGTAGCGGCGAGCGCAGTAATTTTACAAGCATGTAATAAGCTTACAACTCAAGTTGTGTACTATACTTTTTCTACGTTTATTTTCGGTTATAAAAATAAAAATTAAATTACCACTATATTTACACTGACAGATTAATAATTTTTAATCTGTAAAAATAACGTATGTTAATTCGTTTCCATGGTAACTCGACCAACTGACTTACGAGGCTTATGTGATATTACACATTTTTATAAAACTGAAGCGTAATTTTTTTTATTACGTGCTAGTCATTACGTGTCAGTATCTGTTATGATGCATTTACTTAGCATCCAAATAGTAGGCAATATACAATTTACTAGTAAGAGAGTAGAAAATAGTATATTAAATAACGAGAGTTGTAAGAAGCTTATTACATGCGAGTAATGGCGTAGCGGCGAGCGCAGTAATTTTACAAGCATGTAATAAGCTTACAACTCAAGTTGTGTACTATACTTTTTCTACGATTATTTTCGTTTATAAAAATAAAAATTAAATTACCACAATATTTACACTGACAGATTAATAATTTTTAATCTGTCAAAATAACGTCTGTTAATTCGTTTCCATGGTAACTCGACCAACTAACTTACGAGGCTTATGTGATATTACACATTTTTATAAAACTGAAACGTAATTTTTTTTATTACGTGCTAGTCATTACGCGTCAGTATCTGTTATGATGCATTTACTTAGCATCCAAATAGTGGGTAATATACAATTTACTAGTAAGAGAGTAGAAAATAGTATATTACATAACGAGAGTTGTAAGAAGCTTATTACATGCGAGTAAAAAAGTTGCGCGTAAGCCGCGTAGCAGCGAGGGCAGTAATTTTACATGCATGTAATAAGCTTACAACTCAAGTTGTGTACTATACTTTTTCTACGATTATTTTCGTTTATACAAAAAATTAAATTACCACTACATTTACACTGACAGATTAATAATTTTTAATCTGTCAAAATAACGTATGTTAATTCGTTTCCATGGTAACTCGACCAACTGACTTACGAGGCTTATGTGATATTACACATTTTTATAAAACTGAAGCGTAATTTTTTTTATTACCTGTTAGTCATTACGTGTCAGTATCTGTTATGATGCATTTACTTAGCATCCAAATAGTAGGTAATATACAATTTACTAGTAAGAGAGTAGAAAAATAAATATACATTCATTATATTACATCTTCCATTATTCGCTCCGTGGAGCTGTACAAGTGTCTCCCTCTCTAGGTTATTATATCATCATCATAAGTTTTACACTATTGAAACCATTTATAAATCTGCAGAAATAAAATCAAAAATTTGTAATTAATCGTTAATATTGTCGGCATATTAATTATTTATATATAAAAACCGTTATCGTAGTATTTATGTATTACAAATACACCTTTTTTAGCTTTAATAAATTGGAGGTAGGGGCAAAGAAAACTGATTTAAGGGTAAACGAAGATAAAACCAAATACATGTGCATCAACAGACAAAAGGGACGGGATAGAATAGGGCAAAATTTTACCATAGACCCATATTACTTTAAAAGAGTGGAGAGTTTTAAATATCTCGGAGGAAGAATTCTCTACTATACCTCTATTAAAAGGAAGAATTCAGGATTCAAAAATATCGGCGTCCATATTTCCGTGGTAATCATCAGTTTTTTTTGTCGAAGAAAATATAAGACTACCATTGGGTATAAAACCTTCCGTATTTCCTGCATGCAATATAATATATCTTTTGCCATTACTCGCACTAGTACTCGAATAGCATTTGGTAGAATCATTTTGCCAGGATGATTTGGTATTATTTCCTTTCGCAAAAATCCATGTTTCGTCAAGAAAAAGAAACTGTCTGGCAAATTCCGAATTCTTGTTTTTTAAATAGTTTCTTATAAATTTCCACCTTTTTCCAACAACATTGGACAGCTCGCACAACACTTTACGATTATTGGTTTTTTTGTCTCTAAAACCCATAGCTTTTAATACTTTTGATAAACTGGTCAAACCCATATCACAAAGTTCTCTGTCCTTTATTTTTTGAATAAGTGTCTTTTTTGTAACATGATCTTTTGCTTTGTACATGTCATAAAAAATGATATTTCTGATTGAGATTTTAATACCTTGTGGCAAGTCGAGGATTTTAGGATGCGAACGAATCCTTTTATTTTCCTTACTTAATTCCACCTCACTCATTTTTCTAACTCTTTGCAAGGTCCGTTCTAAAATTCCACAAGCTGCACTTGTCCTTTTTTAAACTGCCAGTACTGATGTAATTGGTCCCATGTTGATTTTTTCTAAAGTAAAATAAAAAATAAATAAATAAAAAAAAAGGTTAGTCTTCGTAAGTGGGTATATTTATTTAAAAACCTTTAAAAGGGCTACATCAAAAAAACAAACGTTTTCGGACTAAACAGTCCATCATCAGGAGGCCTTTCCCCTCTTCTAGCTGATATATTTATGGATCACTTAGAATCCACATACATTATGAAAAATCCTGAAATTCTCCATTGGTTTCGATATGTTGATGACTGTTTAGTCTTCATATCAGGTAACTCTAATTCAGCTGATCTGTTACTCTCTAAAATAAATCAAATCCACCCAAACATCAAGTTCACTATGGAACTAGAGTCGTATCAATCTATTAATTTTCTTGACCTTACCATTACCAGATTAAACGACCATTTCGATTTCAGTATCTATAGAAAACCTACACAAACCGACCATATCATACCTTTATCTTCCAACCATCCAATGTCACACAAATATGCAGCCTTCCATAGTTACATTCATCGCCTATTAACAATCCCACTATTACAATCTAACTACCACTCAGAACTCAACACTCTTAAGCAAATAGCATTCAATAATGGGTATGACCCCAATATAATTAACAAACTAATAAATAAGAGACAACTCAAACTTTTGAGAGAGACTGCGTTCCCCAGAGACTTGACCATCAAACCTCATTACGCTTCTTTACCATATCTTCAAGAACGCCTTTCTGGAGATATTAGATATATCCTAAAAAATCTGTTGAGAACAACCACATTTCTTTCAAAGTCCCGAACAATCTAGGACAATGTTTAACCAATACAAAAGATCCCATCAACTACATGGATCGTAGTGGTGTTTATAAATTACAGTGCTCTGATTGTGATGCTACATATATAGGTAGAACCTGTAGATCACTAACTTCCCGTT